TAACAGACTTGTTCTTGGATCATAAATGGAAGGTGGAATCAGCAAGGACTGAAATACTCCAAAATTAACCTGAACATCCTATCCTTCAAAATTGTTTCATGGGCTAGGAACAATTGTGGATTTGGAGGGAAAAATCAACCCAAAAATTTATGTTAAAAGGGGTTTTGGATGCTTTTGAAATCCTATAGTGATGCTTAGAAAACCGTATGCTTTTTTGAAACATCCACACTTGAAATCTGTTCAAGAATGGCTTAAAAGAAGCTTAAAATCCACAAAAAGTGCTGATATTCCCCAGTTATTCAGAGTGAACAGATTTTTATTGACATTTGAATTTTTTTAAATCAGTTTTTGAGACACATTTTTGAAACTTTTGCGGAAAAAATTTTGAAAAATCCATTGAATGCAGGTTAAATTTGTGTTCAATTTTGAATTCTGGTGTCTCTTCCTTTTGAAATATTGTCATTTTTCAGTCACTAAAATGGGATGGGTGTCTTACCCGTGGATAAGAGTAAGACTTATTAATCAACCTGATTGGATGCAAAATTGTTGAGTAGCTTATTCAGAGGCCTGCTGTGGTACTTGAGTAAATACGGTAATAATGTACATATATCTGTCTAGAAAGAACCTGACAAGTCAGGGAAACTTCCATTGCACCGAAGTTGAGAAGCAAAAAAATAGTTTGATTACCGGGGCGACTGCACTGGATTCGGCCGAGCGTGGCAGACAGTTCGGACTCGTTGTCGACCAGGCATTCAGGACCGGAAGAGTCGGAGCTGGGAGACTCGGAAGCAGGTTGCGAATGACGCCGGAAGAGCATTTTGTCCTGCTCCATGAGCACATCGTCCAGTTGCTCTTCCGGCATGTTGGTGCTGGTGCGCTTGCGTCCGCGTGGCTGTTGTTGTTGTTGCTGCTGATGTCGGGAATGTCGCTTGTTGTTGCCTCCGTGTCGTTTGTTGCCTGCAACTGCAACTGCTTCCGTCACATATGTGTTAGTCAGTTTCCCTTGTGGCACCGGTGATACCATCATCTGAAGAAGGTGAGTATATAGAAGGGAATGTACAGTACTGTACGAGGGTTCGAACAAAAGTTTTCGGAGTAGGAATGAAAATGGCATACAATTGAGCTGAAAAAATGTATTCTTTAGCGAAAATATATTCTTTGGCACACAAAAAAAAACAGCCTGGCTTGACAAATTTTTTTTAATTTTGTGTGTGTGCCAAAGAATATATTTTCACGAAAGAATAATTTTTTCAGCTCAATTGTACGCCATTTTCATTGCTACTCCGAGAACTTTTGTTAGAACCCTCGTATATTCAAAGATGGAACATCCAGTAAAGTGAGTAGACAATACAGGATAGCATTTTGTTAAATACATATACAGTATTATCATAACAAAGTAATCTTTAAAACAAATTTGCTTGATATGTTCTCAAGTATAATACAGTCCACCCCGTCTAACGGACTTGATTTGTGCAACGGACAAGTCTGTCAGACAAAAAATGTTTGAGAAAAATTCAATAATATAATTAGAAAATTTCAATTTTCAACACTAATTTTAAGCCAAATAAAGTCGGTTTGGCAGATGTTGTCTGTTGAGCGAGAGAAAAAACTACCTGCAGAGCTGGTCTGTTATAGGCAAAAATCCCTTAGGCGGGATGTCTGTTATGCGGGGGCCACTATAATCCCAATGTTAGTTGAATATATGCAACAAATGTGTTCTTATAAGGAAGTTTTTTGGGGTTGTAATGGCTTTATCATCCTAACTGAAGTAGGTAAGTATGAGCACATATTTATTCAAAGATGGAGCATTTGGTACACAATAAAATATATATTGTTGAAGCATATCTTGTCATCATTAGTACCCACAACAAATTTACTTTATAGGCTCCTATAACTGTTACTGCAGGCGCAATGTTATTTGAATTTTTTAATGACACACTTGAGGTAATTTTTTGGAGCTTTTTGTGGTTGCAATGCATTTGTTGTAAGAATGTTTTACTTTATTTCCTTCTGATTGAAATGAGAAGTGTGAAAGATTTTCTGCGGCTTACATGAGCTCATTCGTACATTTAATTTTATATTGGGAACAGTGAAAAAGCTTTTCACGCATAAAATTCATTTGCATGTTCAGCATGAAATTTCCTAATAGATCAGTGCTGCGCAACTCAAACTTTTTCATGGACCAAATTACTGTAAATATAATAAAGTCTTTGTCGCCAAGGGCCAAATGGCAGAGGAGGCAAGTCCTCGCGGGCCACAGTAGCAGACGATACTTTTTTGACGTTCCAAATTTTATTATTTTTAAAAATAGAAGTTTCCAATTTAATTCATTGCACCAATCACAAGAATAGCCTATACTGTATTAGGATTTTGGATGGTTGGAGCAAAATTTTCAATTTTAGAATTCATTTTTCAATATATTTTTAAACAGCGGCAGCTGCCACCTTTGAAAATTGTAGGGAAGGGACGGCGGAACAGACGGAGAGTCTATGGAGGCCAGATCTGGCCCGCGGGCCGCATCTTATTGAACACAATGATCGTTTAGATTCAGAGGAAACCCTTGGCCTGCCAACAATTCGAAGATGTTTCATCTTTCCGGGTGATATTAAGGTGTTGCTCGAATAATTCACGCATGATATTGCGATGTTCGAAGTGAGCTCAATTAAAATAAAGTTCAGTAAGCCCAGGGTAAATCTCGCAATGGTCGGACATGATTAAAAGCATATACAGTATAGGCAACCATTTATACCGTGATAATTAATTCAAAGCGTTCATGTCAAGTACGAGAATTTCTGATTATTCGGGAGACACGTCTTTTTAAAAGCATCACAACTAAAAATCTACAGTTGCTTCGCGATGCTTCCCGACATGAAGTTGTCTGCGAAAACATGACGTCATACGTCGGATAATTCCCAAATTAAGTCATCGTTTTAGTCGCTGAGGGAAAAGAAATCTATATTTGTATCACAAAGAAAGAAGACGACTGTAAACTGAAAAATACAGCCATTTTACAATGAACTGACGACGTGTCCAGTTCGCCGAATTTTTGGCATTGTGAATCAAGATATGTCAGCCTTGCTCACCTGCGACATCTTCAGGGCTTCCGGAGGATGAATCAAGCATCTCGGAGGTGGCGGTGCTTCAGAAAGCAGTTTGTTGAAGTCGGTCGACTGGTGTTGCATGATTTCGTGGTACGTCGCATACGGGTACACGTCATCATTCGTCGTCCCAAGATTCCCTAAATGCGCTAACAAATGTATATGAAAATTGAGAAACATGTAGTCTCTGTGGGAATATCCCCGCTATTCACGCAGCAAAACACGAAGAAATAATAAAACGTTGCAAAATAGAACAACGTGAATAATCAGAGTAATCCGATATTCTACACAGAGGGGATTTTTAACCGACAGATAATATAATTTTGGCAACACGGTAGCGTTTCGGTAGATTTATTTGAACCATATTGCCCGTGAAGTCCATTAAACGAATATCAAGTTTCGCAAAATGGCTGATCGGTTTCAAACGCTCCGAACGTCATTTAAGCAAGGAGTTTTCAGCTATTTTTAATGAATTATTCGTCCCAGATACCTCTGACACTTGTTAATCCTTGAGTAAATTACTGAATATCTAGAATGATTTCATCAGCAAAAGATGTAAAATCACATGACAAATTTACAGCGATTAAATTTATCACGATTTTCTCGAAGTAGCCAATGTTTCTTCTGTATGAATTTGGAGGTCCAATGCACAACATTAATCATCAGATGACGAATGATTACTGGGGCTTCTAGCATTGTTTTGAAGATATTTAAGGGAAATTCTTGGATTTCGAGTGATGATACAAATGATATTCACTTCATCATCCCTGCGCCTAACTTTTCACCTCGTCTGATTTTAAAAATCAAAGTAAAATCAACCATGACTTATAAAATTTTCGTAACGCTTGCTGGCATGTTGAAACTTGACCATTATTTTGCCAACTGACTAATCAAAATGGGAATAACTCGTTAAATTCGATATTTCACCTTGCTTAGATTTCCATCTTTTTCGACAAAACCCAGCACCCTTTTTTTTCAAAACCCGCAACCACGCAATGAAACGATGTTGAAACGCAAATGCGAACAAACATTTTTCTTCCAATTCGAGCTCATCGCTGTAATGAAAAGATCGTCCCATAGGAGGAAGAAATTCTCTGAAGTACTGTACTGTATAAGCATCCAGATGATTTTTTTATGTAGCGTATTCGCTCCGAAAAAATGTATGCAAAACCAGAGAACGTTTTCGAATTCCGGCTGAAATCGCTCAGGATTGCTATAACATGCTCAGTTAATTTAGATTTTCGATTTAAAAAATGAGTTTCATCAATGCGGTAATAAGCTCCTGATGTCCTCATTTCGCATTCTCGTGGAGACCTGAACATTATGAAGCTGTGATGTGTTCCGAACGAGAACTAAATTTCAACGTGTGTTCCAGCGACACCTATGCATGAAAAGCCTAATCGCACCTGGCACGTAAGCAGGGCTCTGCGGTTCGGCCTTCGCGACTTTCCCCTGTGAAAAGCTGCCTCGAATATCCGATCGGTTCACTTGCAAATGGTGATGACCAGAACCGGGTGCAGGTCCGTGCTTGGCATTCAGATCATCATGAACCAATTGCAGCTGCATTCCAAGTCGATGAAGTCGCCCTTTTCGCAGAATCGAGAGAAAAAAGGATCCAAGATAAATTCTCATATCTATGTACTGTATGTATAGTAATCGCAATAGAGTGCTCGAAACACGTCGAGACTTGTAGCACGAAACTTGTGCTTCAATGAACCTTGAAAACGAAGAAGAAGGTCAAAAATTCAGCATTTGAGAACAGTATACAGTGAAATGCAGTACTGAAGCCATAATCACAAAGTTATTCTGTGAAGAAACATTTTTTCGCAAGCATTCACTTGCTACATCAGGTTTCGTTTCGAAGTCAATGACTTTTAAAATTCGTGTGTCGAGTGCATTACTGCATCTGATCAGCGCAATACTGTATGCTGAATAAAATTAGGCCTAGATTTCAATTAAACAAAGAATTGGTAAAATTGTCAGTATAGTACTGAGAGTGGGATAGGGTCATACAGACAAATCAAGATAGACAATTTGATACTGGGCAAATTGAGGTGGAAAATTTGAGAAAGGGAAAATTTGAGACAGAAACTTTTGGAGACTGGGACAATTTGTGACATGGTCATTTAGAGACAGTCCCAAGGTAACACTGCACACACAATTTTTATTTTATTTTACACTTGAATTTCTGGTATTTCCCCAAGATTATTTGTGAATATTGGGGAGTTTCAAATTGTATACTGAGGAATTTTATAATCTTTTGAAAATTAAATTATTTGAATAATGCTTTTTTCAGAAATATTCCATGATAATATTTTGTTGCTATATAGTAATTTTTTCTATACATGGTGTTAAATATTGAAATTTTTGCAATTTTACTTCGCAATAAGAGAATATTTTGTGCAGTTTACCTCTGCCAATATTTAGAAAAATTAAAAAATATGTGCTGATCTTTTTAACGTGTACTGTATTCCAGTTTATGACAATGGATCAAGACAGGAATGAAAGCAAGGAAAAGCTTCTGTTTCGAATAGTCCTCGTCTCAAAATTATCTCTCTCCAAATGTATCTGTTCCTAATTATCCTCGTCTCCTAAAGTTTTTCTTGAATTTTCCCTGTATTGAATTGGACCTGTTTCTAATCATCTGTCTTGATTTCTCCTGGATCCTTACAGAAAATTGATTGAAATCTTCCATTTCCAGAATTTGTTTTTTTTTTTTATAAAATTGAGCGAAAATTTCAATCACAAATACAATCAAGGTACTCCTCGGATATTCTGGAAATCTGTAATATTATGAAAGATTGTCATCCTACATTAAAGGAGGCGAACCTGTTCTTTTTTTTCTTTCCGCCTCATGAAACATCCGTGCGATTAACAATCAATGGCGTCTTTCATGCCAATAATCCGGTTTGCGAACAGTACAACGTTAAAAAGGTTAAACTCACTCGCTCTGACGCAGTAGGTAACACCAGCAACGACGGAAACCAGTGCCAGCAGTACTGTGCACAGGGGCAACCAGAACCTGGCCTGGTACAACAGGCCGCGGTCGTTGCTCGACACTGCTTCGTTTGAAGACGGCATCGCAGGTCTCACTGAATCTGCAAACAAATATAGGCGCATACAGCATTCGGTTCAGAGAAAAAAGAAGAAGACTTGAATTTGGACCATGAATACGCTCTCTTGATGTTCATGCTGCTCATGTTCACGTACCTCATCTCATGCCTATGAATAAAACATCGTCCAGTTAATTATGCGATATATTTGCGGTATACTGTATATACCAATCGCACTGCAGAATACGACAGGGCTTCAAACAACTTTCTATACAGGACTCCGAATGTTTTGTGAGCTGAAGATAATGTACTTTAATTTCCATATTTCCTCAAGTACCAAATATGGCTAAATGTTTTGTTAAAATTTAGAGGGAAAAAAGGTGCGCGTCATAAAAAGTTTAAGCATGCACTAAAATAGATTCCTTCGGGAAAATTTCGGACCAATTTTAACAGAAAAACAAAATTTTCAAACGATTGAAAATTAATGAAATTCAGGTTCAGTTCATGTCTCAATTCAAATTTGGGTTTTATTATTTTTGAAATGCAGTATTGCAATTTTAGAGTCATTAAAGATGGGATGCATGTCTCAGTTGAATGTATAATTCGTAAAAACAAAAAAGTGGACAGGAAAAACTTGGTGCGTGTCTTACTTAAGGGCATTACTTTTTGAAAGAATCAAAGCAAAAATCGGTGGAAAGGAAACTAATTTTTCGTCATCTACAAGCATCATCAATGATCGATCTATTTTCTGGTGCAGTAGAGTTCGGATAGGATTAGGTACAGTATTTGTTTCGTTATGTCGTCGAACTTGTCTATATATACAAACGAGACCACGAATGGCAACTATTCTCCTCTGGTAGATGTCGCTAACTAGAGCATAAATCCTGATTGGAATGCATTCCGACAAGGCCCCCCGAAAAAAACCCATCATGCCATGTTATCGATTAAAATTTTTGAGTAAATTATTTTCAGGAAGGTCATTTGGTCGTTGAAATCTGGATGTACTCTGAATGTCTCGAATGGCCGTCAGATGGCATCACCCGAGAGTAAAAAAGGCGGTTTCGTATATCTTTATACAGGAACAACAGGGAAACTCGAAGTTGAAAATGAATTCAAGTCCCAGGAACTGGGATTTGCATGCAAGCAATGTACAGTCCTTGACTGCCATATGTAACTGAAAGTTGCGTTTGAAAATAGTGTACAGTAGTAATTGGCCACAGATTTTACTTCCCTCAACGCAGATCTCTCTCTTGACAAAGATGGATCTTATTTTTTCAAGTTCAGGCAAATAGATTCGATAAACCCTTCATTAGGAATATGATTAGAATTCCCTTCGGAATTTCATAATGCCTAGTAGCATTTTTTGTTGCGCAACAAAGTAGTTAAAAAAAATGTATTGTTGCAAGTAATGCTGAAGGGTGAGAATGACAAATATTATGTAGCAGCGGATCTCAAATAAAAAAAGAGAAAACGCATGCAGCTTTATATGTTCTATTGATTTCATGGAAATGATGGAAGTGCTGGTTTTTGTATGATACTGAATTTTGAGTACTGTGTAGATGGACTTTCTCCACAAAGAAATGCATGGGCCCAGAAAAAAAATTTCCGTGGCGTTAATTTTGTTGTAGATGATCCGTATATAACATGAGGATTGAATCCTTCGGGATAAAAAAATTATTTCTTTCAGAGAATATATTCGTATAGACAAGATAATTGTAGAGAAATTACACCAGGTGAACTCTCTCGCTACAACGAATATTTATGCATGACGAATATTTTGGTCCCATAGAGTTTTCTCCCCATGTTGTAAGTGTGCTCTACAACGAAATTTTCCCTAAAACCAATTTTTATGGTCCCTTGAATTTTGTTGTGGAATGTCGAGTCCATTCCACGTGCCAAGAGGGAGTGTGAGAGAGGCAAATGCTGTATTGTGCTGCACTTTTATAGAGCTTAATAGAAGACTGTGCGATATTATATTTTGGGGAAGCATGGCTGTTTCCAGGTTAATACTGTATTGAAAAATGTGCCTCTATCATTTCTAGGCGAGAATGAAAAGTGACTTCAATGTCGTTGGTATAGCCCTGAAACCGACAAAGAGCAATGGAAGAGGACAAATATAGATTTTAAAGGCATGCTTAGGCAAAAAACAATTAAACAAATCTAAAACCGTTGAACCATCAACTCACCTCCTGACAAGGATTTCGTGATGAAATGATGCAGCAAAGTGGTTTTTCCCGCTGGATTGAATGCTGTTAACGAGATAATGTACGTGGTTCCTGGCGCGAGGCCACGAATCGGAACGTACGAGTCTGGTCCGAAGGAATCTCCAACTGCGAAAGATGATTCAGAAGCATTGTAAATAGATGTCGCTGCTATACAACCCTGAGGAGTTCTTAATTTTTCTCATCCGCTTATCAGACCAGCAGTTCGCGCAAACGTAAACTTTTAAATTTTGGTTTATTTAATTTCTTGGGCACAATTCTTATTCGTTATTTCCGATTTGCTTTCACATGCGCTTGGAGATTTCAATGAATTCAGATGATTAAAATTTAAATCGATCTCAAACAGGATTTTCTGCGGGTACTGCTAATAGGTAATTTTGAAATGCGATGGTAAATACCAAAGTCTTTCATATTTTGTCATCTAGCAATAATAGACCATTCCCGAGACTGGTCACTCCATCTTTCTGGGAGAAATTTTGCGATCATTTTCCAAAATCAAACTTCATGAGGCTATCAAACATTTTCGTTAAGCGAACCTTTTGCAAAACATGTACTGTAACCGTTTTTGTTGAGCAGTATTTTCCTGTATCTGCTTTTTTTTCTATAAAGATTTGCTAGTTAAAAATATAGACTCATTCGGTGATTTTTTTAGATTCCTTGTATGCAATTTCAAACGAATAGGCAAGTTACAAATTCTGTATATATACACATTCTACAACAATCTGGTCTGCAACGAATTTCTTGTCCCATTGGGATCTCTGCCCATGATATTGGGGTTCTCTAACCCTTGTGCAGCAAAGTTGGGATATTTTTGCAAAATTGTGTGCCACTTGGCACTGGGAATAAAAAACCCTACTTTCTTACCAAGGGCTAAGTCTGGGAAAAGTCCAAGATTTTTTTCTAATCCTGCAGAAAATTGAAAAAAAAATCCCTTGCTGGGTGGCGTTTTTTCCTGCATTCCTGGCATAGGATTTGCATGGGAAAATCTTGGAAACAAAAGAAAATTTGCCTCCCAGAATTTTCCAAACTTAGGCCTCCTCAACCTGGGTGCATTTCAGTAACTATGGGTCAAACTGAAATGCGCCACCCCCAGAAAAATCCTGACTTTGCAGCACACTGAGAAAGAACCCTCTGCTGTCCAAGGGCTAAAGCAAAATCCTCACTGATTAGGTTTTTGGCTATTCGTTGAATTATGTTGTAGAGAAAGTCCAACTTGGTGAGAAAAAAACCATACGCTTGAGTGACACATCACTTAGTTAATGTCGCCTTTGGCCACGTCTGAGTTGGGCAGCACTGCCAGATACAGTATAAATACATTTGATGCCCGTTTATTATGCTGAAATTCGTGGCCCTGAATCCAGGGTATTGTCATCTGTATGGTACTCTACCGAGTATCCAGTCCCAGTTGCTGGCAGCAGCCTTGTACTGCACTTTGAAGCGCTGAATCGGACATTCCGGACTCTGCCAGGTCTTGAAGTTGAGGACAGCACTGGTGGCGTTCACCGCCAGGATTTGGCGTGTTTGCCAGCCGAGCTCTCTTCCCAACGACCGCCGTAGGTTTTCCGGAAGTTCACCACGAACTTTTTCATTTCCGAGTTGCCCGGGTCCACGCGGGTCCAGCCGACCGAGATGCTGGTGGCGGTGACGGACTCGAGGTGCAACTTGGGCGCGGATGGCAACGCTGTCGAATGAATGACGGAATACAACGTGATGCATTTCGGGTCTCCCAAGTCCAAATCAAATGAAATCTTATTCGAAGGAATCTCGTTATTTACAATTATTGGCTACAATGAATTCACTTTTTTCAGTTTTCTGTCCTATTATATAGCCACAATATTTTTAAAATCGCTCCACAGCGGAATTATCTGGGAGAATCAACGAAATTTCTCGCTGTAATGAGGCATGAGTCTGGGCCCCTATAGAGCTTTATTGTGACAAGATTTTACTGTTTCCTTCTACAATTAAATATGATTACACTGAGACCCCCAGATGTGGACATAATTGGTGCATCAAGAGCGTCCCTAAGTTGAATTGTCCCAAAGTCAAATCTACTCTTGTTTTTCCATAGACTTTCATTATATTAATTTTAACTGGTGTTTTATGGAAAGAAGATTCTCTAAAATTCCATGAAAAAATGTTTGAATTTTATTCAGGGAATATCTTTTCAACCCAATAAGAACATTTGGAGCATTGAATAGTATGCTGCTGTACAGTTCATTGAAATGTTAGCATCTGTAAAAAAAGCCTCAAAGTCCCAAACAGAGAAGGAAGTCCCACTGTGCTATACATAATTTTTTTTTTAATCAGCTGAATGGATGGGAAAGTGAGGGAAAAAGTACCAGAGAATTTTTCTTGCCTAAATCTTAGGGTTGGAAATATCTGTTGCTTGCAACTAAGCCTAATAAAAGTAACTTTTCCTAAAATATTTTGGCAATTTTATCATGCAATGTCCTAATGTTCAGTCAGTCTCTTAAAAATGTGTAAATAGGTCCGTATGTCGGGCCTTTCTTATGATTTTTTTATTGAAAAATAAGAGGCTCTACGTCAAATTGCCGTCCACTGTATTTCCCGCTGTTAGTTGGGTATTATCCTCTGCTTGACGCGGTTTGAAACGAGAGCGATCTTTTTACAACTAAAAAAAAAAGTAAATATTCCGATTCCGAACCAATTTCTCTAGCGAAATCCCAACAATTTTAGTGAAACTTCGGGGAGATCTTAGTCGAACTGTACAACTGTACATATTCTCTCTCGTCACTTGGGTGTCGTCTGAATCGTTCATCCTCTCGCAGAAGGGTTGTGTGTCAAAACTGAAATTCTTTGAACGATTTCTATGCTCTTCTTTTTGATCCAGAAAATGCAAACGTAGGCTCGAACAACGAGTTGATGAAGAGGGAAAAACATATGCTTGAATTACAGTACAGTACGTCGCTCAGCTTAGGGAATGGAAACATGTTAAAATATTACCCTGAAATCCTTGAACTTGGTAAAAAAACAGCGATGAGAGATCATCGTAAAAATTACTTTTAAAAAATGCATGGGCTTCTTGTACTTCTGAAGAAAGTATATCTTCTGCACCCGTTTGCCAGAAGAATACCCACCAACAAATATAACCAGCTGTTGAAAACCATGCTGTCATTCAAAGCGACAGTTCAACTCAGTTGACTTTCCCTAACCCTTGGACGGCGAAGGGTTCTTTCCGATCGCCGGCCAAAATCGGATTATTTTCGTATGCTGGGGCCTTTTAATTTTTCTGAAGGTCAGAAAAGACCTTCCAGGTGGGCTGAGGCAAAGTCGGGATTAATCCGAGAATAGCCCTTTGCTTAGCATAGCATTTTTTTCTTTTTCCCACAAAATTTTTCTGTGCAAAAAGAAAAATCATCGGATTTTTCCCCGACTTCGTCCTCAAATCCCTGTTGTCCTTTTTTTATTTTCTGCCCTGAGGTGCAAAGAAATTTCGCGAAAATAGTCCAACTTCGCCACCCAAGGGCTAAAAAAAAACAAAAAAACCAAGAATAGCTCAAATTACCCCTGACCAATCCCATCAAGACCAATGCATTTTAAACCTCTCAGAAATGTGTGGGCCTAACCTCCCCAATCGAACCCCCAATTGCTCTTCCGCGATCAGACTGGTGCTACATTTTTTTAATACCTGATCCCGAACATATACACATTAGCATTATTGTACGGTAAGTAAAGTGCAGTATTCGTATCATGACAGACATTTTTTTCAACTGTTGAACGGGCACAAAGTATGACATATTCTCCCAAATTGATGATCAAATTTTTGAAGTCTCTCCACATTCGACTGCGATAGTTTGAACTGTACACCTCCATCAAGGCAGAAATCGAAGCAATTCTTTTTACATGCGCCTGTAGGAAAGTATGAAAAATTCAAAATTTTCGAAGCTCAATTGATCTTGGCCAAACCGAGGGGAAATTGACGTACATTTGACAACGAGTCGATGAGAAACAGCATCGGTTCCCTGATCATTGGACGCTGTGCACGTGTAATTGCCGGTGTCGTTGCGGGCGAGGTCCCTGATGACGAGCTTGCCGTCGGGCATGATGCCCAGGCGGTTGCTGGGCGTTTCTGAACTCGTCACACGAATCCCATTCGGGAGTTCCCATTGAACCTGGGGACTGGGTACGCCGACATGCTGGCACGGCAGGACAGTGTCTGACTGCGCTGTGGCAGATACAATGCCTCCGAATGTCAGCACCGCAGCTGGAACTGTCATTGGAAGATAAAACAAAAGATGACAATTCCAACTTGCTAATATGTGTGTGTGTTAAATACAGTGAGTGACCTTTGTTTATACTGTACAGTGTTTACTTGGTTACCATGTGCCCTTGAGCAAGACACACACCTGGATTTTTAAAACCTAAATTTTGGTGAAATTGCATCCCCATGCAAGATGCACACACCACATTTAGTGGCTCTAACTTTTTTTTATACGAGTCCATAAAGTTACTAAAACCAGAATTTGCGGTTGAACAGGAATTCAACTCCAATTAAATTAAATTTTCAATTGTTTTTATTCCAAAACATTACCCTGAAAGTTGGGTCAAAATTGCACATTAGGTTCAAATGTGAC